CATTTTCCATTTGGTTTTGTTGTTTCCTGATTGAATGTGGAAAACAATTTGACGATCCATATTTATATGTATTTAGAGGGTTCTTTTCCCTCACATTATTTTATTTTGATAGTTCACTTTTGGTATTATGCTAACTATATACAGTATATAACTTTGCAACTACATGTCAGCAATACCTGTCATTATCAGTAGACTGTTATTGAATAAGTTGATACAGTATGTACTTGCAAAGTTACTTATAGTTGTTGGGGATCATCAAAATAAAGTGTTAGCATATATTAAGCAGAAAATCTACTAATACTCCAATGACTGGTAGTTGACATTGTCCACTTTAGACATTATATTAACTATAAGTAGACTTTGCAACTATCGAAATAAATTGGTCACCTTCAGAACCAGACTTTTGACCTATGCTTTTGGTCTAGTCCACTTCGCAGTTTATTCTGTTTGGAAACGGTCTATTTAGACAAGAGCCCTGTCTGACATGCCAATGAACCAATTACTGTTTCTTTGTTTTTACTTACCTGTAAAAAAGTTTATGTACATGCGTTCAAAGTTCCAAAAGCCTGCTCAACAGATTGAAATGACACTCGGTCACTAGCGTAACCTTGTTCTCGGAATAAAATGTTGCAAGGCCTGCGACATTTTCTGCGCCTCGTAGAAACGCTCGGTGAGACCGAAGAGGCCGGCAGGAGACACAGGTGCGTCGAGAAACGTGGCTCTGTCAGACTCCTTCATTTTGGCTAGTGTCAGCCACAAGTGTCTCGGTGACGGTCATGGTGAGGTACCCCATATTCTGACCGATGGCCAATGGATTTTCCCATAGCGTAAGCTAGTTTACGCAACACGAGAGGACTCTTGTAAGAGAACTGATGAGGTTTTTGACTATCCGAACCTATTTGAAACAACAGGGAAATTTCATCTTTGCAACATCAACAGCTGGAATTAAAACCATTTAAAGCTGATTTCTAAAAGCTTAAACATGGTGTGATGCTTTTGAATTGTTTGCATTCTGAATTTGTGCTCCCATAAGCTTGCAGCTACTCTGTCCATTAATCCACGTTATCTGTGTTTTCTCCCCAGTCCCTCAGGGAGTGATCCAGAACGGAGCTCGAATGATGAGCCAGGGCCTCTTCCCAGGAATCCGACCCCTTCCCATAAACCCCATTGTCAGCAGGACAGCCACTGTCAGGTCAGTCCTGTCCCTCCAGCTCACTTTAAACGAATTTCTTGTCTCCGCTGACTCATTACTTGATTGACAGGTTTATCAGCCTATCAGAATCATGCTTACACTGCATATCGTGGTTCATATCTGATCTCTGCCTTTGACTCTGTGAAATCTGGCTGCTTTTTATTAGATCAGAACAGCCAGGTCATTCACAGACATCAGCACACCTCCTTATTCAGGCTTAGGTCCTGCTCTTGCATGCATGATGTGAGATGAATAATTGATCACATAATCACTAAGTTTTTTTTTAATGGCATGACCGAACACATGGACAGTCTTGTCTTGCTGTGAAACATTCATAAGCCTGGGCACTAAAAGGTTGTAATGAGAACATAGGGCTCGAATAGGTGGAACAACAGCAGAATCACTGGTTAAAACAGAGAGGTGTGTGTGTGTGTGTGTGTGTGTGTGTGTGTTTGTATGCACTCTCAACTTACTGTAAGTCCCATGAACGACATGTCAAGGTCACATCGTAATGAGTCCAATTTTACTTTATATATTAAAATCTAAACTTTTTTTTTTAAAGGAACAGGAGTAATGAAAAGGAATAGTTCACCCAAAAATAAAAATGTCCATATTATTTACTCACACCAAGGCCATTCAAGGCTCTGTTTACACCTGGTTTTAAAATGCATTTTGAGCAATCGGATCACAAGTGGGCAACGCTAAATACTGTGTTAAACAGGGTCTAAAACTTTTTGAGCTTTTCCACTTTTAACCACTACCAGAGGTGGTCCAAAATATATTATCGAAAACCGGACTGATTTTATAGTCTAAACACTCATGTGGTAGAATGTGTTCCTACAGTGCATAAAAGACGCCTATGAACTAAACATATGGAAAGCATGCTAGCTAGATGGGATTTAAACTTTTTTGGCTGAAGACTGAAGTTTGGTTTTAAGAGGGAAAACATAGCAAGCTCAATGTTCCCTCACAATTCTTTATTTCTAACAGGTACTCACTTTGTTGGACATGGTCTTGTAGCTATCAGAGCAGAAACAAAAGCTGCTGCTCTCTGTATGTTTTTCCGTTGTCTCCAGTCACATTCATACGTAAATTGCGTAAGCTTATTTTGTCCATTATAACAAAAGATCTGAAAAAGCCCATCGACCATCCCCTTAAATAAATCGAGACAGAAGTGGTTAAAAGTGGACAAAGACGGATTAAAACAGCAGGTGTAACCATTGAATGTCTCCCTCGTCTACTTGTTATCCGATCGACCAAAACGCATCTTAATATCAGGTGTAAACTGGGCCAAAGATGTATATGACTTTCTATCCTCAGCTGAAGAGAAACTTTTGAAGAAAAACATTGCTGGAATTTTCTCCATCTAATCCAACCAAACTGGGATTAGAGTCTATTTTTATTTGATTTTGATTAACTTACTTTTTACTTACTATAAACGTATTCACTTAAAATCTCACAGGCAACATCATGTAGATATATTAATTTAAAGAGATTCGGCCGACAATTTTTGTGTGTTTGAATGTTTTTGAAACACAAAAGCCTTCTAAAGACAGTAAAACATGGTTCATTTTTTTTATTTTTTATTTTAACTTTTGAACCTATATTAGTAGTAGGCTTTTTAGAAAGGAAAATGAAAAAGATAAAAGAGAAGCATCAATGAATTATGAATACTTTACAGCTATTTTGAGAATAACATGTAATCATGTAATCAATAAAGAGTAACCGTAATCCGATTATGAGTCTCTTAAGGGCCCTTTCACACCTACTTTTTTTTTGGTCCAGACTTTCAGACTTTTCAGTTTGGTCCGAATCAAAATTACAGGTGTGAAACCTCTGCCGGACCATGGTCCGGACTAAACAGATGAAATTTGGTCAGACGAAAAGAGGTAGTCTCGGTCCGGATCAAACTGAAAAAAAAACTGATAAAATGTTCCCACGATGAGGACGTTCGTTCAGCGAATTTGAACTAGCATTGTGTATATTTGGTGCTGCAGGTAATTATGCCATTAAAATAACAATATAGTTGCAACGATATGCGTCTGTTCATTCATGTTGTCAAAGTTACCTGCCGAATTGACAACACTCAGACATCAGACGCACGTCCATTTACTAAACTAATCAATGTCAAGATGCAGCCCACAGATGATGACGACAGGACGCAAGTATGTTGCGCAAAATTCTTTAGTGCGCTCGCATAATTGCAGTGTGAAACCAAACCAAAACTTTCTGAAAGTATAAAATGTATCAAAACGTGAACTTTGGTCCGGACCTTGGTGTGGACTTTCAGGTGTGAAAACGCCCTAAGACGTAATATAATAAATTACAAGTACTTAATTTTTGCAATCTATTTACGTAATCCAGATTACATAATCAGTTACTACCCAGCATATATATCCTTTTTTGCATAGCAGTGATTGCATAACAAAAAAACATATACAAACTATAAGTAAATTTTCCCATACTTTCCACGTGCATTTATTTACAAATTATTTTGTTCTACAATAAAATTACTTTAAATCTGTAAAACAAATACTAAATTATATAATCATTTAAAAAATATTAAATAAAATATGTTGTTGTTTGTGTTTCATCACATCAATGAAATGTGCTTATTTGTCACAAAGATAATGTTGTATATATGAATCCCCCAGTAAGATTCATTATTTCATTAGCATAAATAAAAGGCCATATAAATATGTCAGATTACCTCTATTATGATATGAGAATCCAGCAACAGCTCTCCTTTGTCCATATGCACACACGGCCTCTCAGTTGCTGTGTGATGCCCATATCGTGCAGCGACGGTCCAAAGAGTAAAACAGCCTCTTTAAAATGAGTGACACTGCATTTAGGCATTAATTATTGAAGCAGTTTCTTTAGCCTGCTGTGCTGCGGCTATAATTTATGAGTCATACAGTAAATGCACATATGAGGCAGGAAGTGGAAAAGCTCTTAGGATTATTTTTCGAACCACAGAGGGAGGTTTAGCGTTTCTGCAGCAAATCTGCAAAGTGCGTTCTTTTTCACTCTTAAACTAAACTGTGACCAGAAGCACAAAACAAATGTCAATGTAAAGACACTTCATTACTGTTTCTGAGAATAAGAGGCATAAACAGAGCTAAACTGTCTTTATTCACTTATTTTTCATCATATTATTTTACCAAAAAGTGGAAAGCTTTTTAAACCGCTAATTAATTCACTTTTTTATTGTTGTTGGTCGGCTGAAGAGGTGCTTCAAAGCTCAAGTGTATTTCAGAGACAAATGCTTACAATAATTGTTTTTAACATTTGAGGATGTGGTGCTTACCAACACACAATACAAGTTTAATAAAAAAAATAAGAGCTGTAAGATGTGCTAACCACAGTTTCTACAAAAGACAATCAAATAAATAAAGCCTTTTAAAGTCTTTAAAAATTTTACTGACCTCAAATCTTTTGAATCTATGATGTATGATTATTTAATTATTTCTTGAGTATATCCTAAGTTATAATAATATATGAAATATATCCTTGACTGGTTTTGTGATTTAGATTTCCCCCCTCTTTGTACAATAACAAATGGACTGAATGTATTCATGTGTTCCAGAGGTTGTTGCCATCTGTGCAAAAAACAGCGAAACATCAGTACAGTGTCAATGTTACACAAATTATTATAATTAATTACTATAGTAGTGTAATTACAAGCAGCTCAACAAAATAATTACACAGCAAGCGCATGTAGTTCATTTGTTTTACGAAGCACTTCCACAGTACAAGAACAGCATGTGTGCGATTTGCACTAATGCATCTCTCGTCTGTGTTGTAGGTCAATACTCGAATACAGGATTACCAGTGACGGCGAGCCCACCTGTAACTCTCCACTGGTCAGCAGCGACTCCAAGGATGACCACACCTACAGTTTTGCCAAATCTTCCAGCTCGGACGCCGGAGAAGAGGCTCTCTGCGATGGAAGCGAGGTGAGCTTCCATGCCAACGAGACTGGCAGCGATGTAGAGGACGATGACAAGAGCAAAATCAAGAAGGAGCCCAAAGAGTGGTCCGTGGACGCCCTCGCTCTGGCCCAGCACAAGAAACGGCAACATTTGACAAAAGTCAAACAGAGAGTGGCCAGTGACACTCTTCCTCTAAAAAAGAGGCGCACAGAGAAGCCTCCGGAAAGTGACGACGAGGAGATGAAGGAGGCGGCCGGGTCCCTGCTTCATCTGGCGGGAGTCAGGGCATGTTTGAACAATATCACCAACCGGACGGCAAAGGGGCAGAAAGAGCAAAAATAACGAAAAGACTGTATTATAAAGAGAGAGAGAAAAAAAACATCACTTTGAATAGAATTTACTATTTTTTTTTCCCAGGACATCAGGTGAATTCTACTGATTTGTGGCAATATCAACAATCACTTTGTTTTCCTATCTTTATAGGTAACATTTTACTGAGGGTTTCTTGTTTTGGTTCACCTATTTTATTGTGATTTCTTTCTTTTTTTTTGATCTACGGAGATTGAAGCCATAGCCTTCCCTTTTTTAAGATATTCAACAAAGTATTTCATTCTTCTGAGAGAGGAGAAAAAAAAAGCAAAATATAGCAAAATTTGCCCTGTCCCATTGTCATAGTGAGAAGTGAAACTACCCTTAATTTGTGGTGCAGCTCGCCAGATTTACTGATAATTCAACGCATTCTCATCCCGTAGACATCCAACGCACATGGAACCCTTTAGCGTCAATATAACACGCACAGAGTATGGGTAGGTTTAGGTCTCGGGTAGGGTTAGGGTTAGACCACTAGGAGGCGCCATATATTCTGCCCCATATATATCTGCGCCAAAGGGTGCCATGTGCATTGGATGTATACGCTTTGGCAAAAGCGTCGTATATGACGCCTTGGGATGAGTACGGGCTGGATAATTATAGGTTCTAGTAATCTCTGATGTAATATAAGATGTTTTAGAAGCACAGGGCAGTGCCAATGACAATCCTCAGGCAGTTTCTGTGATGTCACTTCCCCTTAAAAGAAGTCCAGCAGCATCGAGTGGAGAACTCTCATGTCTGTAGTTGTCATTTGGCTCATGTGAATCATAATTCACCACGATGAGAATGAACCATAAGCCTTTGTCAAAGTGCTTTTTGGTGGCAAAAGTGATATATTTACCAATATGTCTTTCAAAACTGCCCACGTTTTCTTTTTTTTCCTAAGCAATCAAAATGAGTGATATTTTCCTTGTAAAGCGATAGTGGATGATGATATTTCTTCTTCGGCACAATGAAAAGGAACTCTGAGCTAATGCTACAATACCTGCCAATTGTATTTTAATAGCGGAAAATAATGACTGTGGAGTTGTTTTGTGTTCATTCGTTTACGTTTTATAATTGTTTTTTTTATTTGAAACCCTCGTGATGTAATAAGCAATTCATCCAGTCAGGATAAACACTGTATAGAAGTAACACTAGACCATTTTCTTTTCTTAATTTAAGCAATGTAGCCAGCAGGATTTTCCAAATCGTGTTGCATGGATTCTGTAAAGAAAAAGAAGACCTTTTTTAAAAAAAAAAAAAAAAAATCAAAGTTCATGTAAGGTAAATAATGTATTTAGCATGGAGCATGAATTATTTTCATATAAATATAGATCCTAGAGAACTAAGGCACCGCCTCTAATTTCTATGCCAACAGGCCTAGTCTCTTTTGTTGTTTTTGTCAGTTTTGATTTCGATTTGTCGTCCTCATCGCCTTTGTGTTAAAGCAGGCATCTTCACAATTACCTTCTTCAGGGACAAACACTGACTGTTGGGAAACTCTCTCTGCAATACGAAGACTCGGGCTTGGGCCGTCTCGGTCCACACTAACAGCCGCCCCTCTAACGAATACCCGCTACGTCAATGTCCGTGTCTTCAAGGAGAAGTTCGTAGTGAGTGTCGGTCCCCCTGCTCCTTCCGGCTTCGTGCCTGCTTTTCTTCCACGTGTAATCCGGATTTGCGTGTCTGTGATTTATTCAGGGTCTTCCATTTTGTTCCACGAGACTTTGGATCTACAGTACAAGTAGTTTTTTTTTGTTCCCGTATTTACATGTAGCACTGTTCAGGAGTCATCAGTATTGATTCAGTTCTCGGTACAGGCAGTCAGACGGATATTTACGCCTCCACACATATATATTTAAGCACTTATAGACGAAAACAAGTGATATCAGAGCTCAGTGCAAACACTGGTGTATATATTTTCACGACCTCACCGAATTGCACTTTTATTGTTTTAACGTACAGTAAAGAACTTAAGGATTCAGTGCCAAAGCCTGTAATGACTCTATACACACGCATACTTGATATGTTAGTCAGAAACATGTCAATGAGTTGTAGCATTTCTCTCATGTACCCATGTATAAGATATTCTCAATCATATTTGTTAATATCGCTCTGCATTGCTGTGTTTCATGAAGTCACAATGTCTTCCCTGTTCATCTGACGATGATAATGGTTCGACCTAATGTTTTGTAGCGTGTTGAATGTTATATCTGACCCATGAGTGTTAATGTGATGTCTCCAGTTGGCATGCCTTTCCCTAACCAAGCTAGACATTTCTTGACGTTTCCTCCCCACATCTACGCGAAATAACCCCAATTATAACCTTGTCTGCTGGTCTTTATCAACATCTGCCATATCACGTTTCTGTTCAATGTGCTTCAAACTGGGAAACCGGTAGCAGAGAGAGTCCTTTATACACTGCCTTCCTTCAAAGAAAACACTCACTACGTAACTTTTCCTCTCCTGTTCTTTCAGAGGAACCTGAAACACGTTAAAAAGAGGAGCCAGCCAAAAAAAAAAAAAAAAACCTTAATAGGAGGCGAAGTGTTTCTTTTTTTTCCCCATTGTGTTTTTTTTCTTTGTTGTTGTTGTTGTAGATCGTTTTGTTGAAAAGTTCCTGTTTTAACTGCCATTCTGTTTGAGTTGTTTAAGATGAAAGTAACGGAGTCCATTTGGTAATGAATTATTCGGTCTGATGGCATGTGCACCCTGCTAATATGTCAATATAGAGGCGTAATTGCACTCTGTATTTCCTTTGACTTGTAATCATATTGCCAAAGACAACAGATTTATCGATTAATGTAAATACCACTTTGTCCATTGCTACGACAAATTCCATTTGTTTTTCCTTTCATTTGATTTTTTTTCTCCAACCCTACCATCAAGTTTCTGTGATGTATTGTCTTCCAATTGCAATAAAAAAGTTGCAAAGGTGATCATGAACTAGCATGATGGTTTTGTGCAGCTCTAAATGCATTGTTGATATTATTGCTTAAAAGAGTCATATCTTAATGGCTCTTCAAACCAGATCAATACGTCATTTTTAACAGCTGATTTGGGCGTTATGTTTAATAGGAAGTGAAACTGAAAAAAAGTATTAGCCTAAACTTAGGGTACAGATTGGGTTCAGTCAGACTGTTTAAATTTTTCTGTAAGTCTCATATCTTCGTCAAGGCAACATTAAGTTGATCAAAAACACAGTAAAAATAATAAATATTGCAAAATATTAAATAACTGCTTTTTATTTGAATGTACTTTATTTCTGTGATGTCAAAGCTGAATTTTCAGCATCATTCCTCCAGTCTTCGGTGTTTTTCAGGATTCTATATAAAGTTATTTTAAAAGCAACATTTATTTAAAATATAAACCATTTGTAACATTATAAATGGCATTACTGTCATGTTTGATCAATTGAATGCATCATTGCTGAATAAAATTATTGGTCACACTTTAGATTAGGTTTCAATTCTCACTATTAACTAACTATTATGCTACTGTACAACTTTTGGCTCAATAAACTCCGAATTACTTCTTATTCATAGTTCGTAAATTAGTTGTTTAGAATTTGGGTTGGATTATGGGATAAAGAATATGGTCCTGCAGAATAAGGCATTAATATGTCCTTTATAAGTACGAATAAACAACCAATATTCTAGTAATGTGCATGCTAATATGCAACTATAGAGAATTGGACCTTAAACTAAAGTATTAATTTACTTTTAACCTTAAATCTTTCTTTGGAAAATCTAGATATACATTAAAAACGTTAGACAATAAAATTACTCTCAATGGGCTCTATGCACGGCGGTGTTTCCGGTGAAGGTGTAAGGATGCTCGATAACTTCCGCCGATCGTAGAGTCCAATGCAATACCGAGAATTTATATTGAATTTTATACTCCATGGTTATAGTAAAGAAACTTTCGACACAAAAAACTTACAAAACAGACACCCCTCGTTGTGTTTATGCTTCTTTTTAAAATTATTTTAAATAAACATAACTACAGTATATATAAAATTACATCTAAACGTATGAAAGTTTCATTTCAAAGACGGGAGGACAGTAAATTTTGAAGACTCTGCCATAATCCTGTTTTCCTCGGTTTTCCTCCGCTTTAATCGCCACATCCGGAAACTAACGAGCATCCTTGCGTCAAATGAGGAACTTATGCGTGCATATAGCCCATAACTTCCCACAATTTGTAAACATTCACAAATCCTAAAGTGTCTTTAATGTCTCTACTGCCTGCTGATGTCATCTTATCGCACTGATCCATTACTGAAAGTCACATGACTGAAAATGAGAAACAGGAGCAGTGACTGTATTTGGAACATGACACAATATTGATCCTGATTGTCACTTCCTTCTCAGCAACCCACCGCCCAGCCCCAGAAACCTTCACACACTGCAGATTAGCTGACGAAAGACTTATGACCAAGTAATATAAGTATAACGTACAAGCCAGTAGTTTTGCTTACAGTTGCATGCTTAAAAATACAGTTTATTTCCTAAATTGAACACAATTTCATGTACTTCATAAATGGAACAAACATGAAATCCGAGGTTTGACAGTTTCTGATGTCTGATATTTGCATCAGAGTGAACTTTATTTACACATATAATTTAGATGCCATTTGGATGTGTCCGTGGCCTCCAAAATCCAAGCCAGTTTACACCTGTTATTAAGATGTGCTTTGGGCGATCCAAATACTGGTGTAAACGGGTGCCCACGTTCGGCCACTTCCAAGGGTTTAGTCAAAGATGCAATCGACCAGATTGCTCTCGTAATTTAGGCCCTGTTTGCACGTGGTATTAAATGGCTAGTTCACCCAAATATTCTCTAATTAATTACTCACCTTCATGTCATTTCAAACCTGTAAGACATTTGTTCATCTTCGGAACACAAATTATATTTTTGATGAAATCCAAACGCTTTCTGATCCCCCCATAGACTACAACACAATTACCACTTTCAAGGCCCAGAAAGGTAGTAAGGGCATTGTTAAAATAGTCCTTAATGAGTAAAATAGACCTTAATGATATGAAGCGATGAGAATACTTTTTATGAGCAAAAAAAAGAGACTTTTTATTCAACAATTTCTTCTCTTCCGTGTCAAGTCTCTGACGCTGTTCACATTGTAAACAGGGCTGAGCTTCTGTGTGTATATCTGAATGATTTCAATATTGATAATCCGAACAAAGCAGATCTTACTACCAGGTGTAAGCAGGGCCAAAGAGTGCTAGTTTGGAACACAACCGCACCCATGCTTGCCT